TTGTGTGCTCTTAATCTATCTAGCTTCTCTACCGCACCGGAGCTATGGCAACTAACGTAATAATGGCAAGTACTCGCTGACGGAAAATCGAGAAAGTCAATGTTTGACGGTGGACAATATAGTTTATGGAATGGAGCGATTGATCAATTCGTGATAAAGAGAGAGACCGATAGATCAAGGTGAGGAGTCGGCTGATTTACTCATTTTTCGCGCTACATCAATAATAAATTTCCCAATCATGTTTGTCCCCCTCTGAATCAAACGATTATTCCCAAAACACTTTTTTTTATATATTTGATAGTGTAATAAGGATATTTTAAATAATTCAATACATATATATGAAGCTCTGTATACAGCAAGATTTTAATTATCCGGATTCAAGATAGACGAATAATGTATAAGATATACATCTATGTCTGCATGAAATTTTGATAGATATAAGCGAGATAAATAAAAAAAAAGATATAACGAAATATTAAATAAAAAAAGATATATAAATAAAATATAAATAAAAATATAAATAATTTTATATATATAAAATATCTAAAAAAATATATAATTTTGTATATATATTTAAAAAAATATATAATTTTATATATATATATACACACACACACACACAAAATTAATTATACATATATAGAAAGAAAGCATTTTTTTTCATTCTCGTTGCCGATCGTCAAGAAAATTTCGATATTTAAATAATAATTAATGTCCGGATAATTAATATCTTGTCGTATGATATTTCGGGGCTTCAACTTGGGTGAAACACGTTGATTGTTCACATCCGATTAACTCGTGAACGATACGGCACATCAGTGTTACTCCCTTTTGTCCCATCGCGCGATTATATTATCTTGAACATTTCTCTTTTCTGCTTTTTTTTTGTTATGCGAAAAAATTCTTATCACTCCCGAGACTTCACGCGTGGCGCGAAACGACGATTGTCACTTTGGTGAACGTTAAGATAAAGCTCTATTTAGCGTCAGCCGATCTTATAGCGGAACAGTGAGAATGACAAACACAACGGAAAGGGACGGAACGGAAGGGGGAGAAAGGGAGAGGAATAGGGGTGGGCAAAGGAAGGGTTCGTTTTTGCTGCTGTGATCCGAGTCCCTTATCTTCTAATACATTCAACAACTAGAAACAGAGAAACACTGGGATCGTGCCGCAGCCGAATACGAGAATCTCGACCCACGTGTGTGTACGTGTGTATATCTGTGTGCATGTACGTGTGTTTGTGTCTATATGCCTGTAAGTTTTTCGTGCAAGCCTATTTTTACCTATCTCACGCGTCTAGTACGCGTGTATGTACGTGTTCGTCTTTTTTTCATCCCCTTGTCCTCTTTTTTTTCGGAGTTTTAGGTCACGAGGGTGTAAGCCGTAAAACGCGTACGCTCGAGCAGGCGGAATGGAAGCAGCTGGGAAGTTATTATACGAGTCCACGAATCGCTCGCCGCTTGGTTGCTGCCTCGTCCTACGTTGTACATACATATATACACGGTTTGCTGCGCAAAAACAATGTATACTCGAAACATTACTCAACATACATACTTGAAAGTGCATGGAGAAAAAGAATTTGCTGACACGGTCAAATTTGTCACTGTCGTAGCGAGTATCGTTACTCGTTATATGAACAGAAGAGACTTGAGGGAACGCTAATTTTACACATCCTAAAGAAGTTTTCTGCAATTTGCACGAATTATCTCGTTGTATCAACAGACTGACTAGTGTATTATCGAAGCTCAACAACGTTTTTCGCGTTGGAACATTTCTGGAATATCTCGGAGGAAGAGATATTTTATCGCGAATCATCAATTGCTTCAATAATAAAAAAGACCGGGTTTTCTATTTTTTTCGAAAGTGGTTTTCGCATGTTGAATGATTCAAAAAAATTGATAAAATTTTCTTAAATCTTTCGTTGCGTGTGCGCTCTCGAATCATTGGATAAGCAGCAACAGTGACAATTTTGCCGTGACAGGAAGTTCCTTTACTCCGCGTGCGTGTGAGGAGGTAGAAATCGCAGAAAAATGCTTCCCTCGCATATGTGGAGGGAAAAACGGCTCCGCACGGACAATGATAAATTTATACTTTCGAGAGTTTCGTTTTATTCTCCTTCAGAGAAAAGAGAGATGAAGGATGCGCGCACGTGCACGATTCTCCTCCCATCTCAATTGCTCGGATATAAAAAAAAGAAAAAAGAAAAAAGAAAAAATATATCTACATATACATATATCTCTCTGTAACATATTACGTACATCTAATAAAATTCGATCGGTCCATGGATAACACAGAACATCCAGCGTTCAAATTCAATCCATAATTTATACAATCTAATAAATTCGATAAATAAATTCGACAAATAAATTTTCATTATCAGTCACGTCCAAATTTAGAGAGCGCCGTAATTCTAATCGATAATTTCAACGCGAAGAAAAAAAGAAAAAAAAAAGAAAAGAAAGAAAACAGAAATCACTCGAGAGCGTATTCAGTGCACAATAAATGCAATATATATAAAATATATAATATAATCATGTCGATGATGTTAATTATAAATCATATGAGGCTTTAACTGCATTATTTCCCGTCGCATCGCCACATTCTTCTGCAGTTCCTTCGCTTCAACCATCGAACAAAAAAGGATTCACGAAGTTCGTCAAATGCACAATATTTCGTTAAACAAAACAACAGATCATACGTTATATCACTCAAGAATCGAAAGATCCGCGATACGCATTTTTTTCTTTTTCTTTTTTCTTTTTTTGTTCTTTAGGTCTAATGTAGCGCGCGTGAAAAGTGCCTATATCCTTCTTTCGTTAAGCACGCCTATTTGTTGGATATATACAAGCTTTTTTCCGTCACGATAATACATATAATATGACATCGTAAATAATACTACCCTTTTCTGGATCGACAAGCTCAAAGGCAATTTTCACGCGCCGCTTCTCGCTGTAGACGACAATACAAAAGATACCATATATATATACGCATATAATAACGAATTATACGTTTTTTTAACGTGCGAACAGAATTTACGATAATGATGCCTCTATCAGGAATAGAGTTCACTCTTCTCTTCTCTATTTATCTATATATGTATACCACGTATATGCGTAAATAAAGGTGATTTCGATCTAAAATTATATCGCTAATAGGCGCTTCCTCTTCTTCTTTCGCGCGGGAGTACGCGTGCCCACTCCCGGAGAAATTACAGTTACAGTAATGCGATTAGACTTCTTTTACGCACTAACATAATAATTAAAAAAATCGGATTACTCTGAAAAATTCGAGATTATTTTTTAAAAACTGTTCCTCGGACAGTACATTTTTTTTCCTTTCGAGAACGCTCAATTTCTTCTTCCGTTTCCTTTCTTTTTCACTGGTATACACACCGTTGTACATCCTCTTGTACGCACACTCTTTTTTTTTTATCCATGAATTTAATTTAATTTTGAATATTTATCCCGTCTTTTTATTATGCACTTCGCCCGTTGGGGGTTGGGGGAGCAACTTAGGACCATCGCATAATTTATCACTGCGAATATAATGGAACCGTTACGCGTTAATTACGAGGTATGTTTACGTCGAAAAATTAGCAGAATGTTCATCTTCTTTTTGATTATATTTCCACCTGTTGTGAGTTTTATATATCACATATTTTAGACATTGCGTTTCCGTGTGTCTTACAGATCTTCGTCTTGTTGGTTTTTTCCCCGCTTCACGTTCGCCTCTCTTTCCTCTACTTTCGTTTACCTCTTCGAGATTTGTACAGCACAGATTCGACAAATCCGTCCATGTTGCACTTGTGTTAGCATGTTTACGATCGCGTGACGCGTGATTGATTTACGGTCGTTTCTTTTTTTTCCTTTGTTGCGATGATTTAAGTTTAAATTTTTAGTTTTTATGATTCCGACAAGCGTGATATTCAACACGCATTGCTCTTGCGTTTCTTTATACACTGGTATAATTATAAGTCTTTTGTCTTATGAACTGTTGAGTGCAAATCTTATTTATATACTTTATGTTTTTATTGTGGCGTTGATGTTTCTCTGCTCGCAAGAATATGGTAATATGATTGTATCACCTACTCTCAACTCGTTACCACCACTGCTTTGATATACACAATTTACATTCCGGATACACTGTTTCACACCGTGTGAATTTACATTCGTTTTATTTACGTGTTAACGCGGCTTTTATTATTAGAGTTTTAAGCAAGTTCATTAGAGCGTATATTACGAGGCGTCAAGTGTTCTTATTATGGCGTATACACACATGTGCTTCTTTTCCTTCTCCCTTTCATTTTTTTTAATGCTTCGGCACTGCACTCTTATTATATGATAATTTTAATGATAACTTTAATTGCAGAACCTCAATAAAAAGGATCACGTGAAATGTTCGATTTACGATTAGCTTAGCGTTCCCCTCGTTTACATTCAAATTATAATTTGATATATCTAATATTATACTGTGTCTTACATATGAGGATTTTTGTTATTTTATTACTACCGTTCTCTCCTTGGCGACTCTCGATTGCCGAGTTCTTTATTATTTTTGAAAATTTCTAATTTTTAACAAAGAATTGATCAAAAAGAAATAACATGTGAAATAAAGCTCAATATATAAGATAATCGCCTCATAATTTTAAATAATCATAGGGAAAAGATTACCAAACGATCAACAATTTAATATCAAATGAGAGAGCAAATAAATAATATATTTATAGAGAGAAATATATTTTTTTATGTAATGTGATATATAATAAGCTTCCATATGAGAAGAATTTTAAAATATATTTTCATAAAAAATAAAAGAGGAAGAAAATTATAACAAAAACAGTGATATAAAGAATAGAACTGATAACCTTGATAAGAAAAAAAAGAAAAACAAAACAAGGAAACAATATTATAATATTGGTCAAATTATAATTGACCAGAGAGTATTTTATAATATCACATATTAACAATAACAAAATATTCTTGCAATAAATAGAAATTTTTTAAACAACTACATATGGTGGCATATATGTATATATATATGTACGAAGAGGAAGAAAAATATCTTAATAAAGAACTCGGCAGCAGATTACGACATCTGCTCGCAATATTACTGGACTTACGACTCTAACAATTGTTTGATTGTTTAAATTATTTAGGTTAGTTCCTAGTTGACCATTAGTGTATGCGATTCCATGGGCGCCGCGCTATCGTATAACGTATCCGTATCTTGCGTAGGCTCACCTTGCAACTGGCACTGATTGCTCAACGTTCCGGCGCCGCAATCACAAAAGAATCTAGAAATATTAATGCACGATTTCATTATAGTTATTTCATTTTTAATGGAGAATGTGCACCTAAATAAAATACATCAAGCGAATTCGCTCTCACCGGTCGTGTCTGATGAATTCCACATCGTGACCGGCATGACAAGTTTTTATACAATTAACGCATATCGCATTGCGATCCGTCGTGTTGCAAGTTTGACAGCGGTAAAAGTCGTGCATAGGAAAGGAAGTGTACGATGAGATTTTGTACAAGCATTGGCCATTTCCAACCGCTTTCTCCACCGCATCTTGATTACTAAATATTTTATTGCCTGAAAAAATGCGCGATGATACAGTAGATTTATCTTCTTCCACGCTAAAAATGCTATCCAGTAAGCAAGTATTTACCTCTAGTTGTCGGCTGCACCCCACTCGCTAGGCACAGACCACCGAATCGATTATTGAATATTTGATTGTATTCCAGCGTGGCGGTGGCGTTGTTGGTTATTTCAACGCCAGCTGCCAAGCCATCGAAAATCCGGTTCCTTTTCAATACCGGCTGCGATTGCGTCGAAATGAGCACGCCCGCTTGCGCATTGCGAAATATATCATTCTCTTCCAAAACACCTACGAATTGAGATGCATGAAAATCACAATCACGACCATTTTTCCTCCATATACATTTATAACTTAATTTATTTTATTTATTTTTATTTTATATAATTTTCTATTTTTTAAATACTTTTTATAATTAAAAGCGAGAAGCTTATCAATTGAATAGAATTGATAAATTTTAAATTGAAATAATTATATGTTTGATTATTTGTGATATATTTTAACAAAAATAGATAAAATATATTTAATTAAATTTGAAGAAGCAAAGCATACACACATTATCAATAAAAAAATTTTACTATTTATATATTTATAATTTGTGTGTATGCAAAAATTGTATGGTACAAAAATTAGTAAGATTTTACAAACTATGTACTTTACCTTTGCCCCCATTAAATATACAAATTCCGCCGTCTCGTCCGTCGTATATTTTGTTCCTCTTAAGAGTCGGATTGCTGTCTGTCTTAATCCAGACGCCAGCCATCGCGTTATCGAAAATCTCATTTTGTTCAAGTAAGCCTAAACCGCTATTATATACAAGAACACCGCCGTTTTGACCACCCCATATTTTGTTGCCACGTATTACTGGATTACTGCCAGTCCTAAATTAAAAGAGGAAACACAATTTCAGGCAACTTTCTGACCGCTATATTTCGTTTACGCATTTGAGACTTGCGAGCATCTTTTAATCCTTTTGCACATGTGAATTACCTTATTTGTACTCCCGAATACAAATGATTGAAAATATCATTGTCCTCCAATCTTCCGTGGCCGTTGTCGTAAAAATACACGCCGACCTGTTTGCCGCTATGAATTCGATTTCTCCTTAAAACCGGCGTCGAACCCGTTGTGATCCACACGCCTGCTAGGGTATTAGCGTAGACCTCGTTCTCCTCTATTAGGCCCTGGCCCTTTTCGTGGACATAAATGCCACCGTGTTGACCATGATGTATCTTGTTATGTCGAACAATCGGATCCGAATTTGTCCTGATTTGTATGCCGGCCAATGCATTACCGTAGATGTTGTTATGTTCGATCAGACCCCTGCCTTCGCCGAATATATACACTCCGCCTTGATGACCATTATATATTTCGTTCCGACGTATAGTCGGATTCGAGTTTGATGTGATCCATACGCCGGCGAAGTTGTTGGAGTGAATCTTGTTGTCGATGAATTGTCCGAGGCCGTTTTCGTGGACATAGATCCCACCAGTCTGGCCGTGATGAATCTCGCAATGAACAACAGTCGGATTCGCACCGGCCTTTACCTCGAAACCCGCTATCCGATTGTTGTGAATATCGTTAGCCTCGAAGTAACCAAGTCCATTGTCGAACGTGAATATTCCTACATCACGACCATGATGGATGTGATTCCGCCGCATGATAGGATTCGCATAGTTCTTCACCCAGATGCCAGCCAGAGCGTTTCGCGAGATCTCGTTGTCCTCGTACGTGCCCTGTGCGTAGTCGGTCACGTATAGGCCAACGTTTTCGCAATCTGAGATATCGCAGTTTTTCACTAATGGATTGGCACCCACGCCTGATACGCAAACTGCGGCACCAACTAAAAGTAGAAATAATATCAATTTGTTTAAATATCAACTTTATTTCAAAGATAAATATATTGAGTAATTATAAATTTTTTGTTATAAATTTCAATTAATGTTTTGTAAAGATTTAAAATTTTACAGAGATAATAATCTTATTAAGTTCAAAATTTTTTATTAAAGTATCTTAATGTTACAATATACATATCCATATGGAGGATTTAAGCGTTTGCTTACCTACACTGGAGCTTCTGATAATACAATGATCAACGGTAGGACTGCAATTTTCGCCAACCTCCAGACAATAGTGTTTATGATGGGGCACTGTGCTCGTGACATCAGGCGTGAACTTTAACGTAAGATGTCCGGCGTAAGCACGCTTTGCACCTTCCACAAACATAACCGTCGATTCGCTCTCCCGCTCCAGGATGACAGATTCCGCGACATTACCTGGCGCGGCGCCGATCAGTGCCACATCACTATCGATCACAAGAAACTCGCCCCTGTACGTGCCTGCATGTAGAAATACCAGATGCTGTGTCGACGTGTCCTCCCCGTTCGTTTGGGAATTGCTGTTACAACAGCCTTGCCCGCTCGCAGCCGCACTTCCACCGTTTGTCGTGGAACCGCTATTACTCCTGTACTCGTCTACGTAGTCCAGTGCGCCCTGGACCGTATTAAAGTACGGCAGATTACGGCCCTTAAACTTCAAGTCCTGGAAGCCAGGTCGGACATGCACACCTCTATATAGTTGCCTGAAGCTCTCCTTCCACGGATTTTGGTACTCAGACTCGTCCGGTGACACAAACTCGAATTTACACGGGGCTGGGTTAAATAACGGTAGATCGTACTCGTAAACCTGCTGATAAAGCGATTTCCATAGCTCCGTGTCGTTCGCGATTGCTTGGAAACGCTTGCAGACTTGTGAGACTCGGCAAAGATCTTGCTCCATAAGATAATTGAATATTGTGAGTAGCACTTCGTCCGGTAGCTCGTATTGAAGATAATGCGCCGCTGTATTTGTATTTATACCTATCGTGAAAAATCCAAATTAGATCTGACTGATTAGCAGAGTTAAATTCTAAAAAAATCTATGTGTTAAGAAATGAACGAAAGAGCAATGTTGAAACTTACTGAATAAATTATTCTCAAATTTGTTTTCATCATTGTAAAGAAATTTTTATTATATTGCATATAAAAATATATATACAGAGTCTAATAAAAAATTTATGATCTCTGAAAACGAGGAGATATTCAAAAGATGTTAACTTTCTGAAAAGAGATACTGATATAAAAGTAACTAATTCATTGAATACTATTGTTGAAATAGTTCAAAAATATTCTTTCATATTTAAAAAAAAGGAAATTTTAATTAATAGTATGGAACATTCAAGATTACTCAAGTTCGCATAATATGTCTTTCTATAATTTTTACAATGAATATCCCTTATTTTTAACTGTTTTCGAAGAAAATGTAACAAACTTTTCATCAAACTTACTCTGTATATGCTTTATATATATTAATAACATATAATCATCATGATATAAAGATTATTTCTTTATCTCTCGACACGTGGAACAATTTTTAATTCGACTCATCTCTTTCAATTGTGACAAGTTTGAGACGTACCATCTGTAGAAAGCGAACATGTCCGTCTCGGTCGCTTTCTCGCTGGTAAAGACGACGATCCGAAGGTAGCGGCAATGCTACTTCCACCCGATGGCGGTAGAGCGGAACTTGTGCCTGGCGCTGGGTCCGGATGTGGTGGACTCTTGCGTCTCAAGTCGTACGGCGATGAGTGCGACTGCGGAGACGGCGAGGGTGCAGCTACCCCGGATACACTAGGGGACGAGCCTCGTCCACCACTTCCTCCGCCTCCACCGCCAACTCCACCTCCCGGAAGGATCTGATTGGACGTCGGACACGGTAGGTCGCATGGCTCGGCTAATAAAAAAAAATAAAAAGGTAAAAATATCTAGTCTCCAAAAACAAGGAAAGTAAGAAGAGAGCGAGGGAAAAGCAGGTAGTTTTTTTTTTTCAGCTGAAAAGAAGACAAAGTCGTATATACATTATTTTGTGGTTTTGTGTCACTACCTGATGACAAGAGGACTTTTGAAAGGAACCTTTCATGAAGAATAGCTACGTATAAAAGAGGAAGAAAAGAAGATAATGAAATATAATCACACTTAATTTACCAAAAAACTACTTTCAACATCCTAAATCTAAAATCGTATAGCGTCCTATTAGAACGGAAATCTATATAAAAGAAGAAAAAGTATATATTATTTTGAAAGGGAATATGATCACATAATTAAATCATAATTCTTCCTGTGATAGAAGACCCTTAGTAAAATTCTATTACTCTATTAAAGTAGATGTAGTAAGAAAAAAGAATGAAAAGAAGAATAAAGTGAGCCTCAATCCGAGATATATATCTGTTACATAAAAGACGAAGAAGAAAGAGAGAGAAACATACATTGTCACAAGTAATATATCCTGTTTACACAAACAGAAATAAACTTGTATACTTAATGTGACAGATTGTAAACAAAAAGTACATTACATTTTGTCATCTGTTATAATCTCTATAATTAGTAATAAGATACCGCTAGAGAAATTTGCATATTGACACAAGGTGACCCTGTTTTACAAGTGCTGATGCATAAATTGTCGAACATGCGATGTCGTAAATCGATATAAAAAGAATCTGCTAATAAAGAGCAATCTTGCGATTACATACAATACAATATCCGAAATTGTAATTTTTACCATTATGCAAATTCAATATGTAAACCTTACAAGCATGAGTAGCAAAAGAAATACATGTGTAAATCTCACTGCTTCATTTTATAGTGTCAAACTTATTGCGAGAGTACATATCGTATGATAAAATTTTTAATATATTGCATATATTCCTTTTGCCCCTCTTATATAACGATAGAAAACGAGACATGATGTATCTTCCTATCTCGACCGATTGTCGCTATCGCAAAATATGAAATTCGCACATCGTATACTAAAGTACAAATTGACAAAAAGATATTTCGCAGACGTTCCTCTATCTTTCTCTCTCCCTGTTCAATCACTATCAAATCATTATCATCGGTGCGTCAACGAGTATCGCTACAAAAGGAGCAGAATCCGTCACGCGCCTTCCACTCCGCTTCGGTGAACAGCATCTTTCAGACACATTTCACTTTCTAGCCGATAACACACGGACACGCGTACGGGAGGGCGCTCTGCTCGGATCTACAAGATGTGTGATTTTTCGGGGATCACTCTCGATCATCGTTGCGTTTTGTGGATCCTCTTCTCAGGATCCTCTCTCGCGAAAGTGGAGCACCACTAACTCATCAGTCATAAAAAATCATCCATTGGTAATATCGCGTCAGTTCTTGCCTCATTTCCTTTTCCTTCTGTATATAAGAATATATAATGTATTAAAATAAAGGAGTTTTTAAACATCTTTTTTTTTTTTAAATATCATGCGTGCGATTTAATCTCAACGAGATTCTTAGATTAAACTTCTCGAGTGCGTATCTCTATTACAGTTAAATAGATAAGCTTGCATGCGAAATAATCATCGTTTTTTATTCTTATCTAATGTTACTTTCATAACAGCTTATTCGATTTGATCCGAAACACTCAGATATTCAAGTATCGATACTACTAATCTAGAACTTTAGAGTCTGGAATTAAATTTCGCATTCGTAAAAAAATAAGATATTCTTCGTTTTCTTCTAAAATACATATGTTCATAAATTAAACTAACTTTTAATTATTTTTTCTCTCTTTTGTCTCTTTCACTTGTCGAAGAATTTTAAATATTACACAGCTGAAAAGTTAATAAACAATTGAATTCTTTCTAAAAAAATGAAAAAGTTACATATTATATAATCTCAAAAATATTTCTTATTCGCTTGTCCACTAGTCCTCTCAATCTCTCTTTCTCCTTCTCTCTGTTCTTAGGGTATATTATGTGTATTATTTGTCATATGTTTATCAAGTATTAACGATTGGTTATCGAAAAAAGAAGTTCTAAAGTCTCTACAAAATTTTAAGAATTCTGATAGCCAATCGATACATCCGACAAACATTTTGCCATATGAATGTAGTATCAGTTTTATATACCCACTCTCTCTTTTTCACTCTCTTTCTCGTTCGTTCTCCGTCTCTCTCGGACCGATGGAAATTTCGGCACCGATCGACTTGTACTCTTGCATCGCGTTCCAACTGGATCGCCGGTGATTCGGAATCGGGAAGAAAGGGGAAAGAGAAAGAGAGAGAAAGAGAAAAAGGAAAAAGAAGTATAAGGGGGAAGGGGGGGCCGTGAGGACAGGGAAGGGGACGACTCCGAAGCCAGCATTCCGATGGATTGATCGCAAAGCGGAGATCGCGATCGTGTACACGGGAGGTACAAAAGCAATCACTTCTCTGACGAGAGTTTTTATCTTAATACAATAATATTATATTATACAATCACGTTTTCTTAATAATTTTAAAGATCATTCAACTCTTATTATAACAAACATGCAGCTTCTGCAATATATTATTCTAATAGAAGATCTTATCTTCCATCCTTCTTGCTTCATTGAAATATATGATTCTTGCTCTGTACTCATAAGTACTATGTAATTTTTGAAGCCATAAACCTCAGAACATTATGGATTTATGTTATATATTCCTTCAAGCTAGATGATAAGAGACTTTGTAAACTGTTGGTTAGAATATTTTCTTTGTTTAGTCTTGTTTATTGGATAGAATAGCACGATGCGAAGAAATTCCGACTTTTTCTATTGTAAAACTTGTTGAAAAAAACATGTTGCAAATCCTCGAATCCACAATTATACCATTTCCACACCAGTCAATCGGATATTATCTACAAATATTAAAAAGCAATATGACTGTTAACAGCTGTCAATGAGAAATTATTCGCAAGTTTGCAAAATTACTCATGGATGAAAATATAATTTGGAGATGCACAATTGAATACAATTATTAAAACAATTCCAGAATTTATTACAATATTGTCTTAGTTAAGCATTTTTAATTATTTGCGCTAGTCATGATTGCTCAAACTTTCCTTATCGCTGTGACACAACTATGGTTAGACCGAGTCTCTGACAATTTTACCTTTGAAAGCCAATGAGTACAGATTCATCAGACTACATAACCTCAGCTGAAACATTCTGGAGTTGCTTGGAAGTGACGACAGACACAACTTGGACAAGTTTACGTGTAGCTGTCAGAATAGAATACGGAATAATTTGTTTTCTTCTATATACAAATAATTACAAGGAATACCAATGTTTCTTTCTCCACCAGATATGCAATTTCAATTCACTCTTCCAGCTCTTTTCCAATTCTTTCTATACATTCCACATAAAAAGAAAATACAATGGAAGGGAGAGAAATAAAGCTGATAGAGGTAGCGAAAAATGCTAGACAAAATACAGATAGACGAGGGAGGCGAAAGAGCGTTGACAGGCCTGCTCGAGACAAAGACTCGACGGAGATGGCGGAGAGTGCGTCGAGCTCGTGGTTAGAATGATGTGTGATACTCTCGATCCGTTGAGGCTCCCGAACGAGATGGGCGATGGCGAACAGAGGACAGACAGGTGAGCAGCGAGATCTTGGAAGAAGTTCTCCGATACGAAGAGAGAGAGAGACGGGGAGAGAAAGAGAGAGACTCTCTTTGTGTCCCCGTCTCTTTCTCTCTCTCTCTCTCTCTCCGTCTCGCTCGCTCACGCCGTCCCTCTTCGCTCGCTCGCTCGTTCGCACTCGTTCTTTCTCTCTCTCTTACCCGTGGTTCTCGACGGCAAAGGGATCCTGTTTGCGTTTTTCCGACGCGACCTCCGCACGTAGCTGCGCGACGACGAGAACGACGCGCTTGGCATCTTGCGCGTGTCGTCGGCGGCCCTCGGCGGTCGTCCTCGTGTCCGTCCCCGTTGCCGTCGTTGTCCTCCTCCACCACCTCCTGCCCCTCCCCCTCCTCCTCCTGCTACTGCTGCTGCTGCTGCTGGTGCTGGTGCTGCTGCTGCCGCTCCTTCTCTCCACCGCTCTCGAGCGCGACTCGTCGCACTTCCCGGTTACGAGGGATGCGCGAGTAGCCCCGGCCGGGTACCCTGCCCAGCAGGTACGCCGCGGTCGCGGACACGCTCCGGCAGAAGGTGTCAAACGTTCCGGACACACTACACAATAGCGACACTACCACCGTGCACGGCGGCCATCTTCTTGATCTCTGCTCGCCGACTGGCCCAGAGGGCAGCCGCCAATCGGATGTGTTTCTGCCCCGCGAGAGTGCGTGTCGCGCGTCCCTCACCCCCCATTCGATCCGCACCGTTTCGTCGCCGCCTCAACCTCTTCAGCCTCGCTCACGCTCTCTCGCTCCTTCCTTCGCCTTCCTTCCTCCCTCCCGTCCTTCCCCTCTTCCTCCGGAGCCGCCGACGCCACGGGGCGCTTTTACCGAGCTCCCCTTCCGCAGTGGAGCGCGACACAGGCGACCGACATCGGAGTTATGGAGTTATGGAGGCCGCGGAACGGAGTACCGATAACCCGCACAACTGCGTCTCCGCGATCTTCTCGTGCCTCGCGCTCTCGGTCGTGTATGTGGCGAGCCTCTACGTCTGGAGTTCGCCGCACAACAGGTACGTGTGTGTGCGCGCGCGCGGGTGTGTGTGTGTGTGTGTGTGTCGCGGGCTCGCGTGACGTGTGACGGATAACAACGGCAGCAGCGTCGATCACTCGCGACGCGACGTCAACGGGACGGGTCAGTCTCCCTTTCCCTCCCGTTTTCCCTCGAGCGCCCGTCCAGGTCCCCCGTTTCTCTCCTTCTCGTTCATAGAGACGGAGGGCTCGGTCTCGGAGGCTTCCGTCCCGTCGACTCTCTGCCGGGTAAACCGTTCGCGGACGCGAACCGCCTCGCACCGACCGAATGGATATCCGTGACTGACGCGCGCAGCTTCGCACGTGGTGGCGCTGCTCCTGTCACCGGCGCCGTTCGCGCTTTCGGGGATTTTTTTGGACAAGTGGCGGCGGCGCGTCAAGCTTCCTAGGGAGATAACATGATTCTAGTGACATACTCGGCGGAACGTGATCGTTGAGTTTTAAAGCGGATTTATTTAGATTATTTATTTAGCTGATATTAAAAACAGACATTCTCTGTCTTATTTTTCATTATTTTTACATTATTATCTGAGGCAATTTAGGCTTCATGTAATTTTATGTTTATAGCTTAATTTCAAATATGGCGCCGATTGTATTATTTTTACTTTTATTCTTTATTTTTACTATGATTATTATTTGATTGCATTCCGTTTCATGTATTAAGCTCAAAAAAATCTATAATATACGTAACAAAAATTATAAATTTTGCATGAAACGGAATGCAATCTTTATTTGAGCGATATATATCTGGCGCGATATTTGAATATGATTGTAAAATCTAGCACATGTTTGAATTTTTTAATTTAAACATCATTTTTATTACACAATAAAAATTATAAAATATTTTTGCATGCAAATTTTTTAATGTAATAGATACGATATAATTTCTATTGCATCTATTACATTAAAAAATTTGCGTAAAAGAGATATAATTATCTTGTAATAATTAAAGATTTCTAATTACATTTGATTGGCAAAATTAACATCTGTAATTAGTATAATTAATTCTTTTTCATCATATTTCTTCTTAATTATATTCTTTTTAATTATACTATATAATAAATGAAAAATAATTACATCGATATAGCGATATAATGTTCTAATAATTAATTTTCTATTTTATGTTTTATGTTTCTTGTTTTAGAGAGCATCCATCGACGATAAAGAAACGATTTTTTAGCGTATTTATTATGACCCTCATTTCGCCAGCACCCTTGTACTTTGGATTAAATGAACAAGTGTTTCGAAAGGTACTTAAAATAAATTTAAATAATTCTGATCTACTCTATGACAATTATTTTTGTTATTACAATTGTTTATACTTGATAGGTAACTATTTGGGAATTGCTGGGACTACGATGGTCGGGTTTAATACAGGCGACTGTGATACCATTACTCCTAACAATGATCCTGTTCCTAGGTCCCTTGAGTCTACAGGGATTTAATGGGCTGTGGCGATTGTACACAGGCTAGTATTCTGCAAATTCAATTAAGGTTTCGATAATTAAAAAAAAGTGAAAAATAACAAATAAATAAATTTCACTTTTAGAACCCATGTACTGGTTGGGAAGCATACGAACGTTAATATGGTGGAGAAATCAAGTAATTGCTCCACTGTCTGAAGAATGGACTTTCAGAGCATGCATGTTGCCATTGCTCTTACAATGTTTTACACCGTCTACTGCCATATTCGTATGTCCTCTATTCTTTGGAGTGGCTCATTTTCATCATGTGGTGGAGAGGATGAAGATGGGAGTGGGAATCAAACATGCGTTGTTTGTATCCTGTGAGTTTGCCACAAATTTTCTACAAGTCTATGATGTTTCTGCAATGAATATAAATAAATGATTATTAAATTTAGGTTTTCAGTCTGCATATACAACTTTATTTGGAGCATACGCGGCTTTCCTCTTTGCCAAGACAGGTGGGATTATTTTTTCACGAAAACAGTTATTCAGATTTTATATTTGTCTATTTTTTTATTTTTTTATTTTTCTTAGGACATTTTGTTGCGCCGTTCGCCGCGCATTCTTTCTGTAATCATATGGGATTTCCTGATCTTTCTGAAGTAGCAGCATATAAGGATCCACTGAAGAGAGCCGGGCTGCTGTGTCTGTTTGTGATCGGTTTAGTCGCTTGGTGTTTCTTGTTGACGCCAATGACACATCCATCATTGTTTAATAATAATTTATTCTGGACAAAACACTTTATATGAGACGTGTCTGATCTCTCTAACAAATACTAGGATCAAATGTTTTTAAGCAAGATTTACATTGCTGTGTGATATTTTGTATTTGTGTCTAACAGAGTACAGAATACTCATCTATTGAAAAATCTCGCGAATATTAAAATAATTGCATAATAATAGCATAATAATAAAATTCCACTAATTCCAACTATATTTAACTATTACTATTGGTATAAAGATATACCTATAATTTTACTGTGCAATTCGGGATTGTTACAAAATGTATCACCGTAGTGCCTGAGATTTAATTAGATTTTTATAGCAGTAATAAAACATGAAGTGTTATAATGATTATTAAAATAAGTGAATTTGTTCGCAAAACTACAATGGGAAAATAGAATCTCTTATATTATTAGTTGCGAATTTGTGTATTTGTATGCGTTACTAAATACGTTAATAAATTATTTTATGATCATGTACCTATAAATCATAACTTATTAATTTATTTTTCAGAAAGATTTTTGTGTAAACAAGAAACATATATTATTATACTAATCAATATTACATATTAAGGAAGTTTGTAAAATAAATCTTTCTAATCGTCTACTTTTATAACAATCTGTATGTACAGTGTATGTATGATATCTATAAATGTACAATGGAAGTGATATTCCAATATTGAGACGATAAGCGATGCCATCATATACATATACATAATGTTTTATTTAAATCACAGAAATAACAGTTCCGTAACAATATTACAATATATCCTATATATATGTACATATACATATATGGTAAACATGTATACATTATATATGCAGTAAAATTATAACAAAAGTACACATGTACTTATATATACATATATAATGAGAGCTATTTGATTCTTGAATTTTAATTGCATACGTAATGTATACCATTTGTTAATCGAGAGATATCATGGAAAATCAATTTTTTAAATAACGTTCAGAGATCATGTTGATAGCGATACAATGTTGAAGTAATATTAAGTGTTTTACAATCAAAGAGAGAATATAAAATTGCTAGAAATATATAACAATGATGTCATTTCGACTTACAATAACTATGTATAAGTGTCTATTAAAATTTGACAGTATTTGTTAATCTTGTTTTAACATCACGAGAGGAGGAAATAATGTAATTTTGTGTACTACCATCATTACATTCACTTTATAACATTGATACAGAATATATAATTCTAAACAAAACATTCAACTTGTATCATTTATCAGTCTATAAATTTATCGAATGTTTATGCCTCTTCCTGGACAAGCTCTTATTATATTAAAAAACAATTTATATAAGAACATAAAAATCTTATATTGAAAAATGTAAATATCAATTGAATTAATTTTCTCTTAAAAGGAAATTGATAATCGTTTTAGAATAATAATAAATAATATAAGCAAAATAAAATCTTTTCAGAGAGAAGGAGATAAATATTTATCAATTTCTCTTAAATAATAAAATTTGTTGAAAAATTCAATTATGATGATGTTGATAACAATAAACAAGCATTCATTAATTCAAGACATCAAACTCTTAAAAACAATTAAGACATTCATCTAAATATATAAAATAATAAATGTTAAAATAATTTCAACACTAACTGCTAATTTGTAATTGTTGAAATTATTTTAAAACATAGTCGTAGAGTTTATGCAGTCCTTCTTTATAATACTTTTAAATTGCACCATTTAAATAGATAAATAGAAAACTTTGATAGAGTAATGTTGGATCATTACACATAAATGCGCAAAGATATTAACTTAGGAACTGTAAACTTTTAGTTTTTAAATTTATTTTTTTATTAAAATAAATAAATAAATAAATGCAAATTCTGGGATAGCATGTCTGGCATGTTTTTGCAATATAGTTTGGTCAAATACTTATGTTTGGCTTGATCCAGGCGTTGCGTCCGGATTTTGCGATTGATTGAGAAACAACACATTACTCGACTTAATTCTAGGCCCAGCTGCGATTAATGAAGGTGACGGACTGATACAAGGTGTCGAGCAATGACTATTACTCAGATCGCATTGATCTAATAATTTCCAAAGCTCTTCTGGTGTAGGTCCTCCAGAAGTATCTGAAAAATATGGAAATTATAAAAATTAGGATAAAATAGCGATTAATTTTAATTAAATTAATGAGATCAAAGACATATAAGTATATATAATTTAAAAACTTTTAAAAATAAATATTAATATATTACTAATATTTATCATTAAATTATATCGGGCATTGTTTATCATTAATAAAACAAGGTAATATTTATATGAATTATACAATAGATATTATTACTTTCTAGAATTTTAGATACATGTGATTCATGCTAATTTTCTGTTTCCCGCAGAATGTCAGATATGTGAGTCATGCTCACCGATTTCGTTACGTCATTACAACGGAAAAGAAAGAGAGAGTAACATACTTTGAGTGGCATTGAAAGACGGATCCAATGCCGTTGTGAGATCCCACATTTGTATAGTGCCGTTAGAGTGGCCAGTGAATATGAAACGTCTAGGCCTTGAGCCCATGCGACTAGAGCCTTCACACTCGTGCACGTAAAATGAGCTTATAATACTACCATCCACCGATTGTATCACGCAAACTCTCTTTCCATTCGATGCTAATCGAACAAATAATTGATCGGTTTCGGGCACAACCTTTTGCACGAATACTTGCTCGTCGTCTTGTTCGCCAAACGGCCCTGTAACGTTATTCGGAGATTAATATAATAGATTAATATAATACTTTTGAGAAAATATTAATCAGTATTCTAACACAAAATATTTTTAATTTATTTGTTAGAAATATAAAGGAATTGAAGAGAAAATCATTTACATATAAATATATCATTTACAAAATTCATTTCGAAGAAAGAATAATGTCGCAACGTACCAAAATCATTGCCGGCGTTGTAACTAACGCATGGGTCAATTGCTTCCAGGGAAACAATTTTGAAGCTTGCCTCAGGCGTTGATCCTGGTTGCGTCGAAATCATCCCGCGAAATCTGGTAACCGCCCAACTTCTAACATGATTATACTCGGAACAAACCGACACCAAATATTTTTCCGAAAGAGTTACCTGCAATATAATTCGCGCATGATTGGAATTAAAATGTGTATATATCATAATTTAATTTATAATTTTATTATAACAAAAAATTTGTGTTGGGGTAAACTACGTTGGACATACCTTAGTTACACTGCTCTGGTGTACCGTGAAAGTTTGAAATAACTGTGGACCATGGCCAACTGTTTCGGGATGTTGAACGATTACTCGGACACTTCCGGATTTCGTGCCATAAGCGATTTCTATCCAATTTCCACAAAGACCTGCATGGGAGAGACATACTTTTAAACGAAATATGTTTTTCATATTTGCATCAATCATCTGATGCACTTTAAAGAATATAATTTCAAAGAATATGCACAAATTGAGCAATGTTGAAGTTTTTTGATCAGAAATTAAATCTATATTCATGAAATTTTATATTATACTAATCGGTAATTTTAAAGTGCATCAGAGGATTATATATATGTATGTGTGTGTGTGTGTATTGTGCGCGTGTGTACATATATTTGTTTGTAAGATTGCAGTAATAGAAAATGTTCAAAATATAATAAAATAATATTTAAAAAACAAATGCTTCAATGTATTATTGTTATAAAATAATTAGTATATAAATGTTTTTTTTATAAATAAAGCTCACAATATTGCATGCTGTGCATTGCAACAATAAGCAGAAGCAATTTATAAAAGAAAAAAAATAACAATAATTATACATGATTGTATTTTATAATTAAGCAACTACATATATATATTTCGAAATTAATTTGTGTTTACCGACTTGATTAAAATAAAATATTATTAAAAATTACCTATAAAATTTGCCACTATTAACAAACAAAAAAAATATACAAGCAAAGATACATATTTTCTATTACCTCCCTTTCCCCTCTCAGATGCTGGCATGGAACATATTACTATGAATAGAAAGAGCAAGCAAGCAGCTCCAACAATTAAATTGAATCAACAAAATCCACTGCATAAAGTAATATATGAAGAAAGAAATCAAAAAGTACATTGCATTAGTACAACTGGACGCATAAGGATAGCAGGGTTGTATGTGCAAATTGTGCAATCTCTAACATTATCTCGTGTCTCGTGTAAATTCATTTTTTCGCTCACGGGAAGAGAAACTTACATAGAGAATTTTACATTCATATTCTATTAAAATAAATTAAAATAAATGTGCTTTGTGATAGAAACACGTTTGCAAATATATATTTATTTTTATGCTATCAATATGTTGTAAAATGTACGACTATGCGCCAGTGTACCGATATAAAATTAATGCTATCTGAGAGGAAGAGGGTACATTTGCTTCTATTTAATCACACGATTTACGTTTGATGCAGTCAACATAAAATGAAAGCGAATGACATTTCAATTCGAACGAGAAAGCAGAACATCTGCTTATGTCGACCCATACTTGCCTTGTGCTATTTATCCAGTTGTACAAAATGAAGCAAAGAATGTAATAATAAACTCTCATTAATATTTCTAACAATCAATATCAAATCTCATAACTATAATATTACCATAATTTTATAAATTAATGAATATATTTTCTTTGTATATTTTATTCATTAATAAATTATTAAATAAAATATACATTAGTTAGTATAATAACAATTATATTTATACATCTATATATTTATTAATATATATTTAAGAGTTTTTGTTTTATATTAGCACGATTAAAATAATTTTCGTTAAGTTGGTGTATTATAATGATGTTTGTTATTACATTCTGCACTAAGCAGCCTTAATAAATGTTTTTTAATCAAATATATCACTCATCGGAAAATCGCTTTTCAACAAATAATATTAGCTGGCTTTAATTTAAAAGATTTTACCTCTATTATATCTTGTTATTTGCCGGCATTTTTATCAAGACTAAAATAGACTGATGAAAGAGACTCACTTGTTTTCGGCGTCAAATACACAGATATCGCTGTTATGGGATCATAAGTCGGATCTCGATATAACTCAGTTACAAGCAAGTCATTATCCTTCATTCGCAAAGGAAACTTTTGCATATCTGCAATTAAAATTATTATAGTAATAGTATAGTTATTATGTAACAAGTTTTTTCAATCAAGAATAAAAACTTGAAATTGAAATCCAAAAATTTATTTCTATCCTGCAAAATATTTTAGATGTATTAAATATTTTTTAGCTACAGATCTCTAAAGTCTTTCAAATATTTGATGCATTAACAGTTTTTATATTTTTGTATACCTAACATTCATATCTTATTTGATTAAAAATGTATAATTTTAACTTTTGCTTACCAATATAATAAATAGATCCATTATTACAACCTAAGAGAAGAAAGGATCCAGCTGTGTCAAACGACAGGATGGGTACTACATCTTGTATTTGCCAGTGATGAGTCATCGCATGCCATACACCGATTTTTCCAGTCGGTGACAACGCGACCAATTGGCTACCAATGAAAAATAGATATTCTACGCGGACATTCAGGTTGAATGTGCCTACGTTGATCTTGATTCCTTCCTCGGATACACCCCAGAGTCTTACTTGACTGCCATAGGAGATAGCGACCATTTTGCCGTCCGCTCCACTTCCCATCTTTGCGTTTATCGCCACGCGCTCTATTATGCACTCGATATGCGGACTGGTAAACACGTGTTGCCATCCGGACGAGTCTTTCAGCCGATAGCACGTGATAAAATGCGCGTAAGCGATAACTATCCAGTTGTGATGCGCTTTTATGATCTGTACTCTTAAAGGATCCACCCAGGATGAAACTGCGCATTAAGTATAATATTATGTAAAAGCAAAAATAAAGCATTTCAATCTTTTTTGAAAAATCATTAATATATTATTTATCTTAGAAGAAATGATTTATCAAAGCTTACCTTGTTGCAATCCAAATACAAGGCCAATATCGTTTTTATATAATTTATTCAGATCAGCTGAATTATTTCTAACGTGTCTCAGATCTAGAGATGGTGTACGAGAATGTGGCAGACCACGTTGTGGCAATCGATAATCTAAAGAAGAATTTCTGATATGCGTTCCTAATGTTCCTTTGTGATTCTGTGGGCCTGCAAACAAAAGCCTTTTCAGTTATTTTTTTTCCTCAATTATATACTGTTTTATTTCTTCCTGTCACGTTTTTATATAAGTTAGATAAATTGTATGAAAACATATTAAATAATTTCAAAATTATATGATTAATAAAAACTTTAATTACCAGTTGTATTTGGATTAATAGAATTGGTGGTTGGTGTAGACTGCGAAGTAGACGGTCCATCAATTCTAGAGCTTGCATTAGGACCAACTCTAATATGAACAGTTACATCACTGACATTGGACGTTACTGCAACAGGTTCTTGAAGTGGTATGCCTATAAGCAAAAGAAACATTATAATTGCTGTAATATAGTTTTATAATAATATTAATAGTGCTTAATATTAATTTACATGGAGGCGGTAAATAGCCATAAAACAATACATCGCCACAGGATGACTGAGTCAAGTCTTCGCAGAGTACCAAGCGTTTAACTAGAGGAGTAATGCCATAATACTCGGCCTCGTGTCTTAAAGTCCGAATATCCACATTTTTCAGATCAATATCCTTGGTACGAAGATAATTTAATATAATGGAAAATAACTTTGGATCTCTATCTATAAAAAGTGCTCCAGTCTCATCCTTGTGACTGTCAATTCTATTACTTAACAGAGTTGTAAAAAACGAATCCTGGATCCATGTTAGTGTTTGGCGAGATGTGGAAAATCTAAAAAGAAAATTATTTATCGCTAATATATTCAAGTCGAAAAAAATATTTGTGAAAATTTAATAAAAAATTTGGAACAAAATATAAAACCTAACAATATAAATAAAAAGCATTTAAATAAAAATATAAAAGATATAATTTAAAAAAATCATTATCCTGAAACTTGCCAGTCTAATAAAAATAGATTGAAAAGATTCTACACAAATAAAAATAAGGTTAAATAAACTTAGCGCATTTGGAAATTGACGACAGAAAGAAAAGAATGATAATTCCCCGGGTAATAATCTACCTGGTGCCACCAACGTTCAGGTGAACGATATCACTCACGCCTAGATGAGGCACAGCCATTTTTAGCGATTACCGCGCGTCTTTGTAATGACAGCTCCGGATGTCCATGTCCGGACCGTCGACCGTCAAAAAAGATATATCGCGAGCAATCAAAACAACTCCTTGATGTGAAAACAACCTCGATAGGTTATGAATGTACTAACATCGACCAGCGACATCAGCGTACTGTACATGCGCTGAAGATGGTTACTTCGATATTATATCGATACTCCATATTTCTCCTATCGATACAAAAATCTCGAATACAAAATTATGAATAGATTCACAATTGAATTCACTCTTTTGCTAAAAGTGGCTCTGTGCTGTGTGTCCTTGTGAGCAAGTTTTTGTTTATCGTTTGTGTGTATCGTTTATTTATAGTTTTTAACAATGTGAGTCTTGTCTATGAAACTGCTTTTTTGTATCGAGAAATTCGGTTGAATGTGGGAATTAATCATTTCAAGAAAATAAACATCTGAAAGACGATTTTTAATCTATAGGGTTATCTCAAACAGAGATAAAATATTTTTATTTGTATCCAACTGAAAAAAGAAAAAAAATGACAGGTAAGTTGTGCTGCTTTTTGAAATTGATGACATATAAAAGTCATTGTACTCAAATTTTTATAATGGCATAATTCTCACTTTATTTCGCAAATTTCACGCATTCTATTATTAAAGTGACGCTAAACTCAAACTAAAATTATTTCTTGCTGTGCTGTGTTTTTCTGTGAGTCCAAATTTTTGTTTATTGTTTGTATGTATCGTTTATAATTTTTTATTTTTATTTTTAATTCTAATATGAATCTGTCTATAGAATTATTTTTCTAGATCGAAAAATCCGATTGAATGGTGTAGATTATAAGAAAATAAACATTACAGGGTGGCACGATCTCATTTAACATATTATATATTTTTGCATTATATATATATATTTGCATTTAACAGCTGAGATTGAAAAGAAATAGTACCGCTTTTCAAAATTGACGACGTACAAAAATAACAAAAATAAAAGTAATTATACTCAAATTTATAGAATTTGTAATTTCGTTTTGCAAAATTCATTTATCCTATTATTAATCCAGATATTTCCACATACTTGCATAAGTTCCCATTCGACGTAAATTTACTATAATCCTCTTTTCAAATTGAATAATACTGACAAATGTATCGAATGCAGGAGTTTTAACAAGCGTTGAAAGGCTCGATGCACGGTAATTGCATCGACCGATCACCGACGCATGTATCTTCATTAGTGCACAGTCCGCCGATCTCACAATCGCCTGTAATTAATTTACGGCCAACGCTTGTAACGAACCGGAGCGATGCTGTGGGCGAATCGGCTTACTGGATTGACAGAAACTTGCAGATTGTGATGATGCGATCGAAGGTGCCCCATCCAGAATGACCGCGAAATTTTACACCATATCCCTCCAAAATTTCTCTCAAATTATTGGCTATTATTACGTCCACGCAAACAATCCTTAAATTACATATAATTTTGTAATTATTTTAGATTTAATTATATCATTATTTCATACGAGCAATAAGACTAATATTTTCTGAAGGATTTTATATAAAAAATATGATATATATTTAATAAAATATTATATATATATATATTTTTTTTTATATAAAAAATATATATATTATATATATTAAATGTTTTTTAAAAATGTAATAATATTATTAATGTCTCTCTACAATTAACGCATAATTAATCTTTATTTTATTTGATAGATAAACGATACGATATAAAAAACTAGATTCTTGTTGCACTTGAAACAAATAATATTTCTTCATTTATTTTATAGCATCGTTTTTCCAAAATAGAAGAGAAGAAGAATATATATAATATATACAATGATGAAAACTGTTAGAGACAAAGAGAATTATCACTTTGAAAATTAAAAATACAATTGAAATATTTCATTGTTGACAGGTGTTTGGCAAATCCTTTCTCTACATGATGGTTTTGATGGTACGAAGAGTAAGGATTAGCAGTGGCACTGGAGCGGACGCAGCGCGGACTCCACTTCACAGAGAATATGCTAGTCAATCCGTTAGTCCGAAAATATCATGCACAGGGGGATCAAGGGGGTCTCGCCTCAAAGTCGTGGAGCACTTTTAAGATCGCATAAAAGACGGATGAAGCGCCTCAAGGGGACCCCGGGATGAAGGCCACGAGTTACGAGATACGCGGTGAGATGGAATACGCGGATAAGAGGGGAATGAGAGTTGCGAAATCCCTCCGAGTCTTGAAAGAACCTTTTTCACCAGTTGTACACGGGTTCTCTATTAAATACGAGATACGTTTCTTTCTTCAGAGCACAAATGCACTCTTCAGACATATCGCCTTCCGATTAATTCTCAGACCTATAAGATCCGCGTTAAGTCACGTGCGCGCGCGGTCACCCACCCTCGTGTAACACGGTAACCCAGTAACTCCGTTAAACACTGAGACATGCCCTCGTCGTACGATACGGGGTAGCGTAATCAACGATACCGCAACCAGCGACGATTTGTCCTTGTCTATCTACCGAGAGTTTGTTCTATTAAATTACAGGGTGATCCGTAAATCGCGGTTTGTATCTTGTAAAGTAGTGAAATTGAGAGCGTGCTCTCGAGATAGCTTCTTCTTCGAAGCGTGCTTTATTTTCTGAACGTTTACCGGTCTAATAAATAAATATGTCTTGCTAGGTTTTTGAAATATTATACATTTTCTTAATTTTTAATTTTTTTAATTTTTTTTAATTGAATGCTTATTGTTTTTAGGTCCTCACGTGGTTGGAGCGTAAGATTTGATCATGTCTTTTAAATTTTCCAACTCGTAATTTCTCATATTTTTATAGACATACTCGTAAACCAGAATTTTAGTGGAAGGTCTTAGAGTTCTTTAAGATCTTTTATTTTTAGACTCACGAAATTTTAAGCTCTCAAGTACATAGATTCTCAATCCTGACATACTTGAGCAAGCGTTTAAGTCTCTCAATTCTCACAAATTTTTCGTCTCTTCGACAAACAACAAACTCAATGTAGTAAACATTTCATTCAAAATCTCAATCGTGTTATCACCACCGGCCGATCTCTTATGAAACGTCTTGTACACATTATTCACCGGCAATTCGCGGTGCTCTCTTTTCCCTGGGTTGGTGTTGTCAGGGGGCAATAAGTCGGGTAACGTCCGGACGAAATGGCACGATGAGTTCGGTCGCAACACTCACTCACTAACTTGCTCGCTCACTCACTTTTGGTGGGGTAAACCACGAAGCGAGATGGTCTCGGGAGCGACTCGAGGGTATTTTCATCGTGGCAGTGCAACATGTGCAGTCAGTGCACCAATTCGCTTTGATTCCACACGTCTCGCGCTGTGGCCAAATCTGTGGCAGCAACGACTGTGGGTCCAGCTAAGAAGATGTGAGTCGCTTCTGGTGATTGTTTCCTGTTTGTGTATCCTATTGTCAATTTCCGATCGATTGTCGGCGAGGATCTTGGAGCTTGCTGCGAGCACCTTGTCGGTGAAGATCATTAGCAAGATGCAGGCAGCTGGATGACGCTACTCGTTGTTGTTTACGTGATGGCAATATGGCGAACATCAAGGTGGCCGTACGCGTGAGACCGATATCTGCTAGGTAAGTACCATCTTCAAACATTTTATTATTTTTTAAATATCTAAATTCTTTGTTGAATGATACATTCAAAGATTGCAACCGTTCAGGAAACAATATTCAGGATTTATTATCTAGAAATAATAAGTATCTCTGAAGATAATATATATATGTATATACTGTCTAAAAAGGATAGTACAATTATGAATTATGAATAGTACAATTATCTATTGTTTTTATATAAATTGTAGTTTTACATTTTTATATTACGTTGTGCAAAAAACAAATCGATAAGATTGTTAATAATTTGAAATAATTACGTGACTCTTAGGCCCGATTGCACCAACATTATTTCAGCTTTAAGCGAAACTTAAATAAATGTCTGTTTTTATTTATTTAGAAAGAAAGATTAAAGATAGACATATATTTGAGTCTCGCTTAAAGTTGAAATAACGTTGGTGCAATCGAGCCTTAATAGAATATTAATTTTACGTAATTTGCTTGCTTGAAAATGTAGATAAAAATATCAAGAAAAAGTAACAGAATATGATAATTATCAATGTGTTTTTCAATCGAGATATATTTTACTGCTGAGATTATAAATTTAGAAAAATTATTAAAGTGGGGTCTCTTCGAAAATTATGTTATTTTTAAATCAATCCATATCGTCATGTTTTAGAAAAAAAATATCTTATAAATTAATTCTAACTTTCTCTCTAGATAAAATCTTAATGATTAATATTTTGACAATAATAATAATTATCATTCTTTTGTATTCTTATATTTAAAAATAAATTATTGTGTTTTAAAAATAAACCTTAGTTTTATTCAATTTGGCAGTATCATTAAACTCATCAGACTGCACTTTTTGCACGAATATAGCAATGTGGGTCAAGATTTGCAATTTTCTTGGCAATATTTCGCTGTCTTGTGTCTAGCATAGATAAAATATTTTAAAAGATAACTTTTAAAAGAAGATTTTGCTATTATTTAACTTTTAAAAGACGATTTTGCTATTATTTTCAAATATGTTTAAATATTGTTGCTAATTATTACAGTAAATTATATTATAGCATAAAAATTATTAAAACATAAGAGCGATAAAACTTTTTTCTAGCAAGTTCCAGCAATAATAAAGATTTATGTTATTTACAAAATTTCACGTTTGTTTCTTTTACGATTCAAATTTATTGTGTCTGAAGAATTCCAAGGAGAAAAAAATAAAAGAAATCTTTTTTTTTAAATTGTACAGAAAGTAATTGAAAGAGTCTTATATAAGCTTTTATATAATTTTCTATTTTTATTATAAATCTTAAAAATGAAAAATTTTGTCGAATCTTGAATTATTGTATTTGAATTTTGTTTATTCCAAGTTTTCTGGATTTGCGTGTCGAAACTTCTAAATTCCTTGCATTCTTGTCGTCCCGAAATTTTTACACCTTCGAATTTTCAGTTTACGCACTTGTGCGTGGCCGCTCGATGCAAGGCACTTACGAACTCGTTTCTATACTTAGACTACTGGGGTAGAAGCAAAAAGACGACCGGGCGCGTCCGTTTGCAGGCGGTAAAGGCGACCGGAGCGGAATCACCGGAAGCGCAGACGAAAGCGATCGGGCGTCGAGAACTTGAGGACCTTCTTGGAAGCTTTCTGTCGCGTGTTATTGCGCGTTTATTCGCGTTACAAATCGTAATTAAAGTATGATTCATTGCGCCGGTGCGTCCAGTCGCGCTGCATTAAGCGAATAATTTAGGAGTGCTTAATTGTGGAAGCTCTTGCGATCTGCCCTCGACTGCTCGGTTAATTTTCGAATACTTTAGTAACGTATTTCGTCGTGTCGTATATATTTCTAGCAAGCTAATTAAATTATTTGTTGAGACAACATCAAAATGAGAAAAATACACGTATATTAAAATTTAGTATATTTAAGAAAAATTATACTTTTAGATTTTGCAGACTTGTTTTTCCCTTTCTTTATATTATATAATTATGTGAATCGAGTGTAACCGAGTATTTAAGTTCACGAGCCATGGATATTTAAAGATACAGAATGGGGTCTCGCGAAATTCGTTTACAGCAGGGAATTAATGACTTTGCGCGCCGAAGTTTATTATACGTATCTCCCTATGCAAGGAATGTTCAAATTTTGCTCGAGTTTTATTTGTTGAAATATGTAGCATCTTGTTCATACCATGCGTTGCTTAGTTAGATTTAACAGATCTCCAATTTCTTAGAAAAAAATTTTTAGAAACTTCTAAATCTTTCGTAGTTTTCTCTTTCTTTTAAATTTTTAAATTCTTAAATTTCTTGATTGTAAAATTTTTAAATTCTTGAATTTATAATTTTTTTTAGATATATTAAATCTATTTGTATATAATTTTTATGTAATTTATATTTTAAAAAAATCTCCCAAGTAAAATTAAAAATTTACAGCAAAAAAATGAGATCAATATATTTGGGATAATTCTCTTCAAATGTGAAAATATTATTATATATCTCGCAAATTACGTTTACCTTTTCTTTATACTAAATCCTTCAACCTCAATTTTCTTTGCGAACGAGGTGACGCATCATTGCTGTCGACTGTCGCTTAATGATTCCAAGAGTGGGGTTCAGGACGAAAATACTCCCATTGACTTAGCGTGGGGTTGGGCCGCATAGGGACCATGGCTTTGCGACGGGCCGTAGGGCGACCTTTTTACGTTGACAGCTGGTGCATCTGTTCTGTTTATAGTCGCCTCCGTCTGACAGGTACGCGTATATCGTCTTAACGCGTCGGCATTGTTATTTTCGTGCTGTGGCGTCGAGAGATACGCACGTCTTTTATATGCGTCGACCGATATGGTACGCATTTAGGGGATGGTCAAGTTGTAAAGGTACTCTATAGTTTATAATTCCACCGAGTATAACGAGATAGTGATTTGTCTCCTTGAAGAGAAAAAAAGAGTGTTAATATTAAATCTAACTTTAATATTAATGTTAATTTTTTGTATCTATTAATGTATCTATTAATTTATTAATATTAATATTTATTAATTTATTAATATTAATTTTTTAATATAAAAAAACGTGAGTTTTATAATTTTTTATATTTGCACTTTTTTTCGAGAAAACACCTAACAGATTAATTTATAATTTTTCGATAATTGAATTTTTTAAATTTAAAAATTCTAAAAACTCTTAACCGTAAAGAATCTTTTAAAGTACAAGATTGCAAATTCGAAATAGATACTTACAAGTCTAAGAACACAAGAATTTGAAAAATTTGCAATTTAAAAATCCACAGATTATTTATTAGTACGAGCAGAGAAAAAAAAGAAAGAGTATTTTTATTGAGGTTTAGTAAAAATATAAAATTTTTTACATAAGCTTATTGTCAAACGGAGTTAACGACTCCGTTGGAGAAGCAATCTGTTTTTAGCAAGCTCAAACGATTAAAGCACGAGGACAAATAAACAGAGCGGAGATGAATCATCGCGCACCGCATCATAGTAATCATAGCTTCCATAAAATAAATTTACTGTATACTTCTTAAAAGAACAGATTTATAATTAATGTTATTTCGTTACTAATTATACATAAATATTTTATAACTTATTTTGTATTATATTATCACATAATTATGAGGATATAAAATATATACACAATTGCACAAATTTAAAAAAAATTTTTTTTTTTTTTTTTTTTCAAATAAATTAGCGTTTTTGTTGGAATGTTTTTTTGGTAATGTAACATATTAAGTAGAATTCGAATTTTTCTCGCAAACTTGAAACGCAACACGAAATCATATAGCGACGTTTCGATTAGGACGACGGCGAATCTATAGGGTCAAAAGAATCACGCAAGAGGCCGGGTTAAAGCTCTTCTCTGTCCTCCATATATACATCACATGAGGATAATCGCGACATTCTATCTGTCGCGACACGCAAACTGTAGTGTCGCATGACACCGACTGACCCAAAAACACGACTCGACCAGCAATTTGCGATGTAAACCTCGAGATTTTCCCTCGAAGAAAACTTGTTGCATGTCTTTGTAAACCAAAAGCACGTAGAGTGCTGAACCTTTGAATCTCTAATCTATCTTTCAATCTCTGAGAATCTTTACATTTTTTGGATTTTTATTTTTGCTGTAACTTTTTTAGATTGTTGGATTCATGCTTCCTTGAATCGATTAATTTTTTTATATCTTTTATATATACAGAGCTTATTACAGAGATTCCAAAAGATATTTTAATACGATGATGTAATTCTTTTCAATATAGAAAACATTAATATAAAAAGATATTCTCTTTAATAAATCAAAATTTATTAAAGGGAATATATTTTTATAAAGAGATCGGTCGTGCAAAACGCTTTGAGGAAATCGGGCAAAGCCCTCTATAAAATAACATGGGGGGCGCATACCCCCGTGTGAACGCGATGTACGGTGCATGCACCGCCGCCGTTTTTCGATGAATCGATTCCGATCCATGAAGCATGAAAAAATGTGCTTGGCAAAAAAAAGCATGAATAAAAAAGAACGACGGGAGCGTAACACGTATATACGAGGCGAGAAAGGTGGAAAAATGGTAGCTTCGAAAATGTTAGCAAAGCTATTTGCAATGTTCCAACGTGTTCGTTGACCCCTTCGCAAATATTTGCGACGATACTAGCAATTATTTCTCATGTTTGATCGGTTCCGACCGAGACTAATTTACAAAATTCTTATGACCCAATAAATTTTTGTGATTTCAATGTGATTTCAATGTGAACTATTTGAATATTTCTCATTTGCATTCTTTAGATTAAAATTGAAAAATGCTAACGCTCTTTTAGACTTTACTAGATTGTTGGAACTTTTCTTAAACTTCGAGATATACATTACATTAAATTCTTCTATTTTGATATTCTTTGACTTCGAATTTATTTGGATTTTATTGTGATAAATTTTAAAATTTTTATATTTTTAGAATTAAATTTGAAAATTCCAACATATTAACACATTAATATACATTAATATATTTTTTTATTTACGCAGAGAATTAAATTTGACGGGATCCGAAGTGGTGATCCGCGCGGAGCCGAATGAGATTTCCTTGACGAATTTGAAGGTGTCATCGAGTAAGGCCGGCGATAGCCGCGAGAGGACCCGGAGATATGCTTTCGATTACTGTTTCGATTCATCGAATCCCGAAGCGAAGAATTACGCCACCCAAGCGACGATCTACGAGACACTCGGTCAGTCCATCCTGGACGTCATGTTCTCCGGGTACAATTATTGCTTGGTAGCTTATGGGCAGAGTGCGTCGGGTAAAACCTACACCATGATGGGCACAAAGGTACCACATATTTCTTTTATTATAATTTTCAGCTGACTTATTCGAACGTAGATTAATCATTTGAAATTCATAAATGATCCACCTCGCGATATTTAATTTTCACATTTTAGTTTTCATTTATAGGCACAATGTAAAATGCAATTGGAGCTTTTATGCAATGTGTTAATTTAATTTTAAACACTTTTATTAATTTCAAATTTTAAACATGCTTAATTATAAATTTACCTCATGTGGATTCTCGATAATCGGACGTATGAATAATTGAGTGTTTAGCTTATTTTGACTTTATAATACGGCACATCACGCATATGTGCATCAAATAATGAGTTATAAGTGTATTACGAATTATTATGAAATATTATTTGCATATTTTATCGATATACTAATAATATTAATCTTTGTTTCGACGCCATCTCTATAAATAAATAACAGATTTAAAAAATTGATTTTATTCATTTCATCCAATCCGAAAAATATATATGCTTGTAGTTTTATTATTAGAAGAGGAGAGACTACTCGATCCCCTTTCTTATCGTACTGAGGTTTGTCTGTTATAAAAAATGCGAATGACCGGTTTCACAAAGAGATCCCTCTGAGAATGTTTTATTAAAGTTTCATCCGATAGAGTAGAGAAAACGGTCTATGCGTGAAAAATTGCATTTGCGATTTCGAGCACGCTCTCGTCGTCCATTAAAACGCGTTTCCCATTTTATATCTATTTTATCAACGTTATTTTCGTGCGCGGCAGCTTTGCGGAAATTCTTTTACCATCTGAATAAACCGGTGATGATGTGTTTACGGGTCAACGTACAATGTGCAAATTGTTTCGATTTATCTCGTAATAAATCTGATTGGCATTTTATTTTCATTTTTATGGGACATAATAGACTCCTTCCACGCATCGTCGGTGTCCCGTTTCGTTTGATACACAGTATTATTTTCAAAAGCGAAGCGCACACGCGCGAGCCGAATTATTTTGATTTACCCCACGTTTTATTAATACATTGCGGAACGTTATTCTACTTTTTTTATATTTTTTTATTTTTCACGCACAATGCGGAGCAATCTATTTGCTTTTATTTCGGCCGGATGGCGTTCTGTTGTCATCAGGGCCGACGTACTCGCAATATCCGCGAAAATATCCATGCAAAATGTATACACGCTACGATCTAAAAAAGTTTTCACTCGAATCTGACGGGCCGATGCGTTAATTAATTTCATCGAAAAATGTGTGTGTTATCAAACTTTATCAATTTTTTTCACGCACGCATTTGCTTGGATAATTAATTAATCGTCTAGTATCTAGAAAAAAATCGTGTTCTTTTCCTTAATTGACAGTTTTTTTCATATACATGTGTACATTACAACCCATAAATCTGCGAAACAGCATTAAGACACTTTCAATGAGATTGCATTTGGCATGCTAAAAGAATCAGTAATAAAATAGATAAAATATAGAAAGATGAAATATATGATAAACTTTATTGTAAATATCTCCGGTAAATTTTGTTACATCCAACAACAGATTCGCCACAAGCTACATCGATGAATATTTAAAACGTTTCATAAATTTTAATTATTTTGATTAAATTGATGACTCTCTACATATACATTCAAATTTTTATGTAGTTTATCGTAGATTTAACACAGGAAAATATTTCAGTAAAACGCGATTTTTTTTTAACAGGAAATACAATTTTTTCCAATTTTTTTCAATTTATTATAATCAAGTTTGTGCGGTTGTATACATTTTATTGTGAGGATTGGATCAACGTGTTAATAAAAATTATATTATTATTATTGTTTATATACAATATTTAAAATTTTATTAGGTTTATTATTTTATTTAATGAATTATAGTAAATTTATTTTGATATCATTTTTTCTGATATTTTCTTGATAATTACTATGTTTTATATAGCATTTTTTAATTATTTAATAAGAAAAAAATAAAATTTATTTTAAAATTTTCATTTTAAATATCTTAGATTCTTCTTCATTTCAATTTTAAGAAATAAAAATATTAATTCTTTTAAAAAATTATATTTTTTAGCGCGTTTTGTACGCGTTATAACTTAACGTAAAATAACTTGGATATCAATCACTTTTTCATATCTTGGATGCAATCAAGCTCACTCCATTAGCTCATACAATACACAATTGCTGCATTAATTCACTTAAAACCTCTCTCGCCTTATTATTGTATCGGCAAACGAAAATCGACGAGGTGAATTTTCCGGGAAATATTTAGCTTTCATCAGCTCTAGCACTCTGGTAACACATCCCCACGAAACTATATATTTTGCATTTTGCATAAACTGGTCGATGCATATTTAAAGTTTAAACAGCATCAACCTGATTATTGGTTGTCCTCCTCCTCCTTCTCTCTCATACCTCACTCCCGAAATTATCATATTGTATCACTGAGTCTAATTAACGAATGAGAGAGAAAGAGAGGGAGAGGGAGAAAAAGAGAAGAAAGGAGGAATTCTCGTTGTAGAAGCAAATCAATGTTCCATTTTTCGTCCCGAAAATTTTAAATAGTAAATTGAATCTGTTTTTGCGGAATAGCGCTTAATTAAATTGCCTGTCGGCATCCGTATTGGCGTATTCCCGTGAAATCAGCGGCCGTATCTGAATGGATGAGAAGAGATGCAACGTTTTAAAAGCGCAGCCTGTATTGTGGTCGTACAACACGTTCATTTATAGAGTTTCAATTATAAAAAAAGCCTCTCTCTTTTATTCTCCTTCTCTCTCTTTCTCTCTCTCTCTCTGTCTCTCTCCTTCGCAAATGTTGATTAATAATGCATTACATTGGAAATGGATATGACTTCTGTTAAGGCATTGCTTATTGTTTCCAATTCAAATAGGTTTTATCAATTAAATCCTTGTTCTGTTCAGAGAACAAAAACTTTCTTTTTTTGTATCGATTTTTTCTCATATTTTATTCAATTGCTTTATATTTTGTAGAAATGTCACTCAGATAATTTACTTAATCTAGAATTGATAATTCTAACAATAAATAAATCTTGTAAAAGCAATGAAAAGTTTTCTCTCTTTTACGTTTTATTTATAGTTTTTTTTTATTATTCTCTCTCTTTCTCTTTCTCTTATATAATATCCTTATAAGGATTAAAATTACAATGAACTAAAGAGTATTTCAAATCTGCGACCAAATGTTTTTTCATAGTAATTCTTTAATTAGATTAAATTTTTTTTTTTTTTTTTCAGGAGGATCCAGGACTCATTCCACGATTGTGCGAAGGAATTTTTTCAAAAATCGGGCAGGAAAATGGCTATGACAGGATTTATCGCGTGACTGTGAGGTAAGTGTATTATCCGACAAAAACTTTTTCAATTATCCGTGAAATATATAAACACACATGCAAAGTTTGTAACATAAATTTGCGACTTCAAAGCTAAATGTCCTCGTTTACATTTTGCGTCAAAAAGCGACATCGCGTCGTGATTTAATTTGACAAATTTTACTCTATATTATTCTAACAACATCATAAAAAACTAAAATAATATATCCCTCTATTATTTCAATATAATTATTAAAAATTAGATATATACAACGTTGAAATATTATTATATTTTTGGTTATTATCAGAAATTGTAATAATTCTGGATAATCTAATATCTAAGGCTAACATAATAAAAATGTCGACGAAAATTGCAAGTTTCTCTTCGATACCATCAACAGGGAACTTTCCGATCACTTAAAATGCTCAAAGTATCTCGATACTTTATACTAAATACATACTCAGGAAGATACTTGTGAACCGCATAATACGTGCCTTTCCCTTTACCACCAAAAGTTCGTACTTCGCTGCAACCTCGATGAAATCTGCATTCTTTTATTTTCCGTATTGTTGGCCACTGCGATGGCTTCGGATTTTCGAATATATTAATTCTGTCTGAACACGATTAACTTTTTTTTATAAACTTTTTTCATATTTTTTCCAACATAATAGAAATTGTGTATAATATCTGCACTTTTCTTATGCAAAAAATTCAGTAAATATATAAAATACTGTAATAAGACTATATCTTCGATGAAAAATATTTAAAAGGATCAATTTTTCACGCATTACGTATTTAATCTGATATTAATATTTTGTTTAATATTAAATAAATATGATATATGAGAAATAAATTTGTTTGGATTTTTTTTAGTAAAAATATAATTTTGTATAACTTTTCACACATTGATAGTTAATGAAGAATGATATAAATTTTAAATATATAAATGTATGATAAGATATATAATATAATTGTTAATTACACAAAAAGTTTTAAAAGTTATAAATAAAAGTTGTAATGTATATCTGTTGTCGATCTTAGATTAATATTTATGCCAGGCACGATATATTGTCATTGTTCTCTCTCATATACCGCGTCTTGGAAAATTTAATCATACTGCGAGTCGAACAGATAGCCTTCGCCGATAACCTGTCCGCGTCTTGATAACTGTGGGAAAATCAACACCCTCTCTCATGGTACCCTTTGCTCGCAAACACCGCGTGAATACACACGTACGTGAAATGTGGATACAGGATGATCGAAAAGTCACGAAACTCAAACATATACGTGGCATGGTCTGCAATGATATTTATAGAACTATGTGTGCAAACAATACAAAATTGTTATTAATATCAAAAATCTTTTGTCGGATGTCAAACTAAATATGATTTAGTTATATCATTTTTTACTAACATTGCGCCATGTTAAAATTAAAAAAAGATATATAGACACAGTCGAATAGCGAAATTATTAATAATTCTACTTTGTATGAGGTATATTTTATAAAAAAAAAATCATAAAGATGTAATACACCATCTCTCCCATAAAAAGTTGGTGAAATAATTAAAATATATTGTTACGTGTGTTGAATTGTGACAACTATGATAATGGAATATTTGATATTACACGTGCCATAATAACGCGTGAAAATATTAAAGTTGTTGTGAATCAAGATCAAATCGCCTTCTCCGATCACTCTATATGTCGGTAAAAATCGACACTTTCGGTCAAGGCCCGCCAATCAAGGCGCGCCTTTGAACCTTCATCATCGATAACTTTAAGTTCCTTTCGTGTCGACGATCATTGCGTCGTGTCTAATCGCCATCGCGAATTTGTAAGGTCAATTCGCATTACAATACGAATTGCCGGTGAGAGTCTTTCTCTTCCTCTCCCCGCAAGTATAATAATGACAAATTGATACTGCATCGAAAATCGCTGCGGGATTGCGAAAGTCGTTTCGCGTGTTCGCCTTCGGCGTCCGGATTTACTATTTATTCCGCTTTAATCGCTTTCACACACATCGTATACCGAAATAGCTCGCGCACTCGCAGGAACAAATCGCTCGGCGATAATTGCCAATCGACAAAAATCCGCCGAGACACACTGCGTACCGTTCGTGACGCGAATAAATGGATAGTTCGACTTCGTGTATTTTTGGCAGTCGTTAAACGCGAAGCTAGATGAAAACGAGGATTAGTTTGAAAAAAGCTGTAAAAACTGCACTGGCATAAATTCAATTTTTCAATAATTGATTGCGCGTTGCGAGCGAAGAGACAGACTTATTGCGATTTGATTGTGATAAGTGACTGTCAATACTTTCGAATCCTCTAAATGTGCATGTTCGCGAAAATCGACGATCTGAATGTTATAAAATTGTTGAAGTCCGAAAACTTTATTATTTTTTATTCAAGCTTTAGAGAAAAGCTCAAAATTTGAGGGGATTCGACAACCTTAAATGTCATAAACAGCATAATATCTGAAAAAGTAGTGCTTTAAATCCCTACATTTTTGACGTGATTTTAAGATGTCAAGATGATAAAAGTTTATATATCTATGATAAGACAAAAAATCTGACAATTCAACGTTCAACTTTCTTGAGGATTCAAGAGCGTTTAGGAAAGAAAATACTATGAATAAGGTGAAGGGTTGCGACGGGTGATGGTGGAAGGGAGAGACGATAGACGTAGAGTCGAGTTTGCGAGTCGCGAGGCTTGCAAGCACGGTCTGTTGGCCTGGATGTGTCTTGCAAGCTCAGTGCCCCGTGACTCGCAATCCCAGACGGACGCAATCTCGTTGCAGTTGGGTAAGACTAAGAATGTACTCAAATGTGCACCGTCGAATTTCCGTTTCCTGTATGTCTCGCGCATTTTCGCCGAAAGATGCAGCAAGTTTAGTTTCCTGAACTTTCCCAACTTGCCGACACATTAGTTTTTAGTCACGCTAGATCCTTGGATTCTGTGGTTCTTACATTACTCTGGAGCTTGAGTTTGAAATTCCCAAATTTCGAGTTGGATCTATAGAATTCTAGAATCTTTTGAAACTAAAAGTTCAGATAAATATGTCTGAATATTCTTGAATTATTCTTAATCTAATATGTAATTTAATTAATATTTTTAAATATTTAAATTTATATTTTATAATTTTTAGAATGTCATTTAGGTTTTGAATCTTAGACGTTTCGAGAATTTCAGGATTTTTTGGCTCCGTAGATTTGAAAACACTTAGCTTCTTAAATTTCATCTTCTGATTCTTTGAAACAATATATATTTGAAAATTCTCAAATATATATTTATATCCTTCTTGAATTGATAGATATTACTTTGATAGATATTTACCTTTGCCCTCTAGGCTTGATACATTTTTCTTAAATCGATTACACTTCGATTATTGAGCTTCTTTCTTTTTTTTTCGTACGATGGATACTTGCGGATTGAGATGAAGATAGCCCATGAGATTCGTTTGCATGTTAATATTTTTCTATATTAAATCTTTATTAAAAATATGTATAAAATTATTTCTATTGTCACTTGTGTTTCATGTGAAACAGAAAATTTTTACCATATTGCATAAAAGAAAAATAAATAACCTTATAAAAAGAAGCATAAATATTTTATAATGATAATCTTCTTGTTATTATTTCATGAAGTTTATGTGTCAGTTATCAAGTACATGCGTGGAAATAAATTACATATTATCGCTGTATTATGATACCTTTCGAGAAATCACATAAAAATTAAATTATTTTATTTTATCATCGTTATTGCACGCATATAATTTCGCAAATAAATTCGTGTCGCGTTTGCTGTTACATCATTTAATATTTCTCTCTCTTTGTTTCAACAATTAAGCAAAGTATTTTATGTTGCGCGCAAACGATCAGTTTGAGGAATAAAGTATAAAAGATAAACGCGTTCGATAATTAATATAATCGGAAAAAATATTCGATATTCAATCTCGTTCACATTTCTGGATTTATACTCTTGTTAGATTTATACTCTCTAAAATAGTGTATAATAAATCCTATAATAAAATTAATCTTGTGTATATATATATGATAAATAAATAAATAGATATTATATATATATATATATATATATATACAATATATAGAAAAAAATATATAGAAGATATATAAAATATAATAAAATACAGTACTAAAATACAGTACTGTTTTAAGTATATAAATCGATGATATAGAGAGAAAATCAGAGAGAAATTTTATTTCGCTAAAAGAAAAATATATATCAATGATCGTGAGATGTCGATTATACATCAGAAATTGATATTTTGGTTTAACGCGAGAAAACGAAACTAGTCCTGCGTCTCGTTTTGAGGCCGATTCCATCGGCCCGTCAGCGACCGGACGTAAAATCGTTAAGTGGGTCGAGCAAGAAAGTTCATTCGAACCATTTCTACTTGCTGCCGCCGACTGTGTTTAGGGGTAAATTAAATTCAACGGGAATGCTACAAAATAGATACAGAAACTTTAACGTTCGCGTTTTCCATTGGATGAAAAATAACAAAAGAGGAATGTTATTTCTTAAAATAAAAGAAATGTCAAATTCTCAAATGTGCATCATCGCATTATAAAAATGTGAGTCCTAAGTGCAAGATTTATTAAAACTTAAATAAATAAATATCATACATATTATATCGTATATATAAATTATATGGGGTGTCAGGGAAATCTCTTCCTAAAAAAGGCTCTTGTAGCTTAGCTCGAAAGCTTTTCAAAACTATAATAAAGTATTTTTTCATTGAGTACTTTTCGAGTTATGAGGCTTGAAATAATCTCTAATTTTACATAAACCATAAAATATCTAGTAAAATATTCAGTTTTCGATTATCTTACCTTTATATTTTTATGTACAAAATAATAAGAAAAATCAATTGGTAAAAAAGAATAAGAAATAAGAAAAAATATGTAATTTGCAATTAACAATTACATTTTTTTTTTCGAAACAATTATGTGTTTTCTTTACAATTGATTCTTCTCATTATTTTGTACATAAAAGTATTA